TTAAAAAATTTTATTATTTTTCTAACTAATTTTCTTTAATCTTAATATTTATACTATCACATCATGAGTAATTTTTGAGATAAAATTAATGTTCTAAATATTAATGAAATTTATGATCCTTTACAAAATTTCATAGATAATTGGGACATCTTTATGGAAAATACTAATGAAGCTTTGGATAATTTGGAAACTAATAATGAAAACATATCCTTGAGTTTACAAAATAAAATTACTCAAAATGAAGTATCTAATAAACAACAAAATTTGGACACTAATAAAAACTTTGAAAATAGTTCTGATGAAAGCTCTTCTGATGAAAATAATGAACTATCAATAATTGATAAAGTCAAAAAAGATTTACAATATGAAGTTGATAATAATATCGAATTTACTTCACCTTTTGAAGCCCACAAGGATTATAAAACTTTCAAAAATATTATCCGAAAAATTGAACAACTTGGAAAATGTAAAGGTGTTAACAAGCAAAGGTTGAAAATAGCTTACTACCTTGGTGAACTAAAGACCAAAAACCAACTCAATAATAAGTTTATTTGAAAAATAAGGAATAAACTGACAGTAAAGTTTAACAAATTCAAGTCTGCAAAAATTTGGAGGTATTCTCTTTGAGTATACCAAATTTATACAAAATTTGGTTTGGGACAACTTTACAAAGCAAAATTTATTAGTACCCAACTTATTGAAAAACTAAAACAAACCCAATTCGATCAAATTTTAGTTTAAAAATTTTATTAAAAATTTCAAAATATTTACAACAACCCTAATTGCATCCTACAAATTTCATCTTCCAACTCTTCTATTCTATCCCTTAATTTCTTCTTCTCCTCTTCTTGATAAACCTTATATCCATCAAATTTCTTCTGCACATGATCTAATTGATTCTCTTTTTTTTCTACACTATTCTTATAACTCATCATCATCTCGTAAACTACATCAACTCCTTTTACTTCTAAAAAATTTTCATACTCCTTTACTTTTTTCTCCAACTCCCTAATCTTCTTATCTCGCTCATCTTCTTCTATATCTCTCTCTATATTCTTTTCACCAAACCACTCATCCTATCTTTTCTTTAATTCTTCATTTTCATTTTCCAATCTTCTAATTTCTCTGCTTGCCAACTCCAAATCACTTTCTAACTCTACTTTTTCTTCATCAATATCTATTAACATCTCCTCTATCTATTCTTCTAAACCCTCTACCATATTTCTCTTCAACTTATTGGTCTTCTCGAGCAATTCTATATTCATAAGCTCCTTCTCCATTAAATCTTTCTTTAACTTCTTATTTTCACTATCTATTGTGTCACACTTCTCCCTATTATTTTTCAGCCTAAACCATATTGCCTCTTTATACTTCTCTGTCAAATCAAATAACATCTCCTTTTCTTTTTCTTTCTTTTTTTCTTTTCTTTTTCTAAACAACTCCTTTTCGTATCTCTACTTTTCTCTCTTCTTTAATTCATCTATCTCTTGTTTTAAAAATCTAATCTCCATATCTCTTCTTCTTACTTCTTCTTCTTTTTCTTTTTCCTTTCTTTCTTTTTCGATTATAAAATTAAAATTTTATTTTTAATATATTTTTATTTTTATTTTTCTTTATTTTTATTATAATACCTCTTAATACTCC